CCATTTAGATTTCGACATCGTCGGGTCTCTTTTCGGTGTCTAATGCGTTGGATGTGCTGCGGCCGGTTAGGCCTCCTGTTCCATGGTTTTCTTTGGTTTGGTTTGGTGGGAACATTCCGAAGCATTCTTTTATTGCTTGGCTGGCGATGCGTGATCGGCTTGCTACGAGAGATCGTTTATGTCGTTGGGACTATTCTGTTATGGTTTCCTGTGTGTTTTGTACTGGCCAGGAATCTTGGGACAATCTATTCTTTGAGTGCCCTTTTAGTTGGGAGGTCTGGTCGAGCATGATTGCTTGGGCTGGTTCTTCTCGCCGGATTTCATATTGGTCTACTGAGCTTCCCTAGTGTTAGAGTTGACTTTTTACGGCAGAAACATGTATAGGTAGGCCTATTTGACCATGCTTTTTTACCCATTTCTCATCATTATTTACCAAAAAGTACCACATATTATAAAAGTAGAACATGCATAGAACATTTCTGCATAAAAGTCAAATTATGGTACTTTACGAAAAATATGAGAAAAATACTGTAACGCCCCAGGAATTTCACCATTTCCAAACAGGGACCGTTACTAAGACTACCTAAAATTTTCACCTAAACAAGAGAATTATCTTCACAACAAAACTAAGCAATAAAGCTACCACGCTTCTCCTACGCTACTCTAATTTTCAACACTCACGAGAGCTTGAACAATTAGAACAACAACACTAAAAATTTAAGAGAAAATCACATCCTATACGGATAGACCATTTAATAACCGACTTCACAATAACCAAACCCTTCAAGGAAACCTTTACTAACTATAAACCATCCACTAAATGAACATTAACATCTCGAATGGCAATGAAGCAAAAAAACTAAATCAAGTACGATCAACTTAAACAAATGTATTCATAAATATCCTAAGTAGGTTACAATCCCGTAGTTCAAGAAGCTAACAAAATTAATGCTCTAAAAAGAATAATGAATCGGTAATCTTACAACATCCTTTAGACAATAAAACTAAACCAAACAAACCACTAACAACTCAACTACAAGATTAAATAGCCACAACTATCCTAACTAAAGGAAATTAATTACACGCAGCATGGCTAATGGTCTTTCCGATCAAGCCTCCTCCTCGCCATCACCATCCCAGGAGCTAGCTTGATACCTGCAAACTGGAGGGGAAAAAGAGGGATGAGTACAAGCACAGTACTCAGTAAGCAGCCCTTATCTGAAGGGTCACGCACAAACGGCATACTTATCAAGAAACAACGTGTCATGCTTATTAAAGGATCAACACACACACATCATGCTCAACCAAATCATGAAACATTCATAGTCATGCTTTTCATCACATTATGCATCCAAACATAGACACATTCTATAA